ACTAAGATAACACGATAAATTCCAAAACTAGAATAAAATATATGAACCATCAAAATTAACAAAGTGAAAAAAAACCCCAAACAACCCAAACAAAAAAAAACCCTCCAGTGTCATTACAAGGTAAAACAGTCATTGAAAAATGGCAAAATGACAAAATTAACACTCCATGTTTAACATACTGACATATATACAGACCTGTCACACAGGGCTTAACATGTTCACATATCATTCTGCAGATCATGTAATAAAATGTTTCAGTTACTTAAATACATGACATGAGATTTTGCATGTATAAGAAATGCTGGATGGTTTGTTTGTGTCATTAACTTTCCTCTGATTTTTATGACTCCATTAATATAATTCATATATAATCTTATATAGCACAATGTAAAGCTGTTTGGTGATGTAGGATTAAGTCTTAAGAGGCATAAATTTTGCATGTGTAATTATGTTCAATCATATGAATGGTACTATCACTGTAGCTCAGGTTTCTAAAAGAAAAGTTGAAAAGAAAGAAATGGCCTTGTCTTCCTTTCTGTAGTGACCTCATGCATTACAAAATAAGATGCAGAAGCTTTTGTCAAAAGTATATAATCATGTTAAATGGTAAGCAGATCTTCTCCAGTATAGTATTTCATGAATCCCAAGTAACATCACCCCAGGTGTGTGATATCAGACAGGAACTTGAGTTTTATTTGTATAGACTACTGACAAAACCTGCTATGAAATGTCAGGAATTCAGGGTGAAACCTATTATGTATGAAAAAATGGCATGCATACAAAGGTATACTGAACATATATTCAAGTCTAAGTTAGAAAATAGTTGGCTGTACATTGAATCATTTTTATCTTGTCTTACATGCTAAGTAGTCTTTTGACCTTTGTCTCTTAACTAAAGCATATGTTGCGTTCATTAGTTATAATCATTAAGGGTCAGATTTTTTTACCCCCTCATTTTACATTAAAAGTTTCCATGCCCACACAGTTTGAACTTCATACCTTGTTACATTTATTACCTTCTTAGCTGCACTGCAGTGTGCAAAATCCACAGGATAGGTAACTCAAGAATTGTGTAACTATTGTCAGTTCAGTAGAGTTTCCAGATGAATATTCAGTGAACAATGAGGGAAGCAAGTTCCTCTCATCCTTCCTGAAGCACAGGAAAATAATAAATACAAACTAATGTGTCAGAGTCACTCAGAAGATATATGGCCAGCCTTTCACCCAATCAATCGCTACTTAGCTGTGACAATGCCCTTACTATCAGTGCAAGTTCCTCAGAGAGAAAATTAGTGTACCATATGTGTATAAAGCACCTGGATATTAAATGCTAAGGATGTTTTTATTTTACTTAGAAATGTAGAAGCCATATTAGTGGAGTTCATAAGACATGTGATTTCCTCATTCACTTCATGCATTGTCTGGTTCAGAAGAGTAAACAAAAAAGTTTGGAGATGGGTCCTGTGGAAAGCCCTTCAAGAAGACAATTTATAACTCTCATTTGCTTGTTTACCCTCCAGAGAATACATTAAAAAAAACCAAAAACAAAAACAAAAAAAACCCCACACAAATCAGAGTTTGGAATTTTCTTATTCTCTGTTTTAAAAAAGGACTTTTTTGTTGTCTCTATGATATCTAATGGTATTTGCTTCTGTAGGCTAATATTTGCTGTCATAAAATACTGAATTAGAGAAAGACACAGTCAAAAGAATCCAAAAAAGGCACACATGAGTCATAAGGAAAGACTAATATACAAAGAAGATTGTACAATGAGAAATAGGAAAATAGCAGATTGACTAAATGAAAGATAGAGAACCTATATACTTGTGGATAGTTAAAGGAAAACCAAAAACTACTCTGCCATTTTGCACAACTTGTAGATTTCCCCCAAAAAGATGTTTGATGTTGCATTATATTATATATTTTGATTGAAAAAAAAGAAAAGAATTAACAGAAATCCTCTAAAATCAACAAAAAACCCAAAAAGACATATGGAGATAAAATCATATCAGTCAATAGCTTTTTAGAAAAGTTAGAAGTAAAATACAGATAAAGTAGGGGAAGGGAAAAACATAATATGGTGTTTATAAAAAATCCTATGGAATAATTATGTTTGCATATTGCAATATTCATGAGCTAGTTAAAAAGCAATATAAACCTCATTCAGGTTTCAACTTATTTGCCAGTCGTTGCTACTGTTTATGAAATGTTTCTGCAAAGTCTTTTTTCTTTCCACAGCAAGTGTCATGTTTAACTTGCTATTCTTCTGCAATTTCTAAAGGGAGCAAGACTGGGTTAATTTAGATTTGTTTAGCAAACAAAAGAGCTTGAATTCTGTGTGAAGAAATACTTCCATTCCTCAGCTCTGTCAAAATATATTTGCTCTCAGATTTTTCAAATTATTTGAATTGTACCTGCATTCTTTCTACCTTTCTTTGTCTACTGAACTACTGAAGATTTTGGGTACCATCTTCAAAACGAAAGTAAAAAATTATTTCTATATTAACATGTGGGGCCACATACTAACCAGACACACCTTTCTTTGGCTTATACATTGTGCTGAAATTTCCATGTATAAATTATAGTGGTGTTATGGATTTCACTGGTGCAGCTGAAGAAAGAGCTGTTAATGCTAATATGGCTATAACAGTATAATAGTAAATAAAGCAATGGACAATATCTGTGAAGTTGCTAAAGTTCTTGGAAAGTCTGTTCAGAAATTAAACAATATTGGCTGCTGTTCCTATGTTTGTGCATTCATTTTCTATCTTAATCACATAGAAAGCACTCCCTTATAGAAAGGCTATGAATATATAATATTCCAACTCCTTCTTTGCTAGAATATCATACCTGACACCAAGAATTCAGAAACACTAATATAAGACTTTCTCTCACCAAAGTAATCGTAAACAGATGGTCATAAATGCTCATTCTTTATTTTCTTGGAGCATGACTGTCTGAAACTAAATTTGATACACCCCTGGACTTTATAGAACCTTTCTGAGATACTCTGTCCTGATTCTGAGAGTTACAGGCACTTCAAGATTAATCTCAAAGCACTGAAATATGATGGTCTTGTTCAGTTTGTTAGAAGCATGCATAGCCATGCTTCCACTGACTAATTTTTGAGAGAGTGTGGAAATAATTTGGACCGTGTCAGGGTAGGCAGCGGGTCTGCTGAAAGCCTGGCAGAGCAGATGGAATCTGCCCTCAGCCAGATCATCCCGTACTTGTGAGAAGTCTGCATGCAGGAGGGCATACCACAGATAAGGAGCAAGGACAGCGAACATCTGCTGCAGAAACATGAAACTGTTGACCACAGATAAGGAACGGTGTGAATCATGTTCAGAGGTAAAACTTTGAGAAAGCTATCCAATCATGTAACCGTTGCTATGGGTGTAGCCGTTGCTATGGGTTTAGCCAATTATGTTAGAGCTTGCAGTAGTAAAAGATATATAAAGTATATAGAAAACAATAAA